TGCGTTCACTCTTTCGCTTGCTCTTGTGGAGCAAAGTACGTTGACCGCACGACTATTCAGGCGTCTGTCCGAGTGTATCCGTGAGCATCAACCTGCGTGGTTGCGAAGTGGAGCAACTAAGTCGATCACAAGTGCGGTCTTATCGCACCTTGTCAACACTAATCACACATCTTAAACGTGACCGAAGCGTTCCGATCCTTGTATAGAATTCAAACGGGACAAACTAGACACGAGCTCAGTGTGCTCAAAAAACAATTTGTGCGAGCTCCTCCTATGGGCGGATTGNTGTCGACAGGTGACTCGTTATGAAACATCAGAGTAAATGATAATTGGGTGACCAATTATGATAGAAACTTCTGAATATTTTAAATACTTTCCCTTTTTCCCTTACATTATGACGTACTACTCGCATTTCCGAGTAGTAGTGAAAATAGTGCGATTGGTGGTGGTTTCTCTCAACGATCGAAAGATCACCGAGAGCAAAGTGCTGTGTCCCAAAGAATAACTACTGTCTGCGCCAGGCATTACCCGGTGCGCTGCCAAGAACTTCGATGGTACGCTTCAGATAATATTTCTGTATTATGTATGCCAAATAAGTGATATCCTAACTGTGATCTACAATAAACAACTATCCTCAACTGAGCACCCATCGCCTTGTGGAATTATAACAACTAGTGCCGTCGCCAGGATCCGGATGAGAGTTACATGGCCTGAAGCCTTCGAGGATGGAGACGCGTGGACGTTCCTGGTGGAGTATGAGGACGTCTTTGTCTGTTACTATAGTCCAGTATGTGTTGTGTTGCAATGGCTTGATTAAGACACACTGACACCAAAATTGTTTGCGAATTTATGTTCTCACCACTACAGAAAACAAAGAACAAAAAAGCCCGTGAGAACAAGTATTGGTAAATACGATTGTTCATTATGTCGCATCTGACCTGATACGTTTTATATTAGATCGAACAGAAGAGTGAGAACAGAGACAACTTCGAGGATGAGTCGATTAATGTGGCTACTGCTCTCGCTGCAACTACAAATGATGATCAGTACTTTGCGGTTGGGACAAGAAGTTAGAACATGACGGAATGTGAATCAGGATGCAGTCGGTGACTCACACAAACAAACCTGGGAACTACGTACTTTGTTCAACACAACGCAGCAAAATGGACTGGTCCTGATTCGAGCACGGTCCGGCTCCGACAGACATGGCACGTCGATCGGAGTTGGTGGCCACACCAGCCCGACCACGGACACCGGGCAGGGGTGCATCAAACAAGGCACGAGTGAAACTGGGAGTGGCCAATCGTTGCCATTGCTGTAACACTTCGGAGCCGTCAAGCGGTTTGATCAGTTTCAGACGCTGTGGAAGTCTGGAATGGAAAAAACGACGGGGCATAAGAGTCTAAATTTGTGCCAACGCCACAAAAGTAATAACAGTAACAATTTTAGGGGATAGGTGGATTGGGATGCAGAACAAAGTGGAAAGAGGGTGAAACAGTTAAACACGGGAAAATGGAAGGTAACTGGGATTACAAAACATTTTTTGTGTGTTTCGCCGTACACTCGTTTGATATATTTTTGCGTTGTTTTTTGTTTTTTACGGGGCACGGGATTTCGACAGGTAGAACATACAGCACTCGCGCCACTGACTTCTATTATGGGCTATATCTCTCAATGTCTCTATCCAACGAAAACACTCATCCTTTGGGCCTCAACCTGAAGGGCTGGCTGCATCAACCGAAGCCAGCTGCTTCACACCTCTACGCCATGTCATGGTCTGACTGCCGCGGCGCTTCTTCCAGCCTTTCCCGGCACGTGCGAAGAGAACATGGAAAGGTAGTCGATGGGCAGGCATACGCAATACGTGGCCAAACCATCGGAGGCGGTGTGCATTGATTACCTTTCTGTTAGAGGACGACTATCCGCAGCCAACACGTGACGACAAACCTCATCATTGCTTACCTGAGGTTCCCACCAAACTCAAGCAATGCTTCCCAGACATCGGTTGTCGAATACAGAAAATCTGTTAGCATCCTCAACGCGGAAGGGCCAGGTCTCGCAACCGTAAAGGAGAACTCTACGAACCTCAGCGATGTACACCCTTTCCCTGAGGGACAGTCGGATGTCACGGTGGTGCCACAGGTGTGTGATAGAACTGTCGAATGTTTACAAACTCGTTGCTTTGACACCGATGATGATTGACAACTTCAAACTATACAAACTCCTACTGCTACTTGAACAGACAAGCATGCAAGACAGAACATCCATTGCTTGACAAGTAACAATCACCGATTGTTTTATCGACTTTGTGCTCATCGAACTATTTGGTTCCACGTCTTTATAAGTACTTGTTCTTTCTCATTCAGTCAGCCTCAGTATGGTCCGGGATGGGTGTCTAGGATTGCTGCTGATCACCTTTCCCTTGCACCGCGCCAAATGCCCCCACTTGACCAAGCGTCTCAAATAGCTAATTCTGCTGAGGAGGAAGCCCTACTCATTACCTTTTCGTGGCGGAGGTGTCTTCCCACAAAAGTGAGAGGACGAAAAGCCAACATCCGGGCCTATAACTAACCACCTAGTTGGTGGTAATTCACCTGAGGGAGTTGGCTAAAACCCTTATTCCAACCCAATAGGAGGAGTCGTACGAACCACAAACATGTTCTCCGTTGTGGAACTGGTCACCGGCTTAATTGGGCACCTTGGACGTTTGACCCCGTCCGAAGGGAGTATCATCCGATGAACTGCACACCGGTCCCTAATGGATTGCGGTTTTCACACACTGCCCCGTTGCGTTGCTGAGCAAGCTTTAACTAGCCACAGATTACGATTGTGAATTGCTCAAGAAAATTCACCTGCTTTGACCCGGGCAACCTGGCAATATTCCGCCCGCATGCAAATCATGGAGCGTTTTTTCTTCTTTATAAAGATTAATGTACCATGATTTGTTTGGCATACATTTTGGATTCAGACGTGTGTGAAAAAATTTGAAAAATATACCATTCAGTCAGCAAACGAATCACTCGACAATCAGCTGTTCTCCTGTTCGGGTCAGTTAACGGTTGTCTGCGACAAGNTCAATGCGAACCCATTCACAACAATCACTTTTGGAATGGGAGGAACGACAAACAAAGACGATCGATCTGCCATCCTGTTTCATTTCTGGCAATTGTTAAACCAATAAGCAGCCACCTGTAAAAAAGTTGAATCACCAGCTCCTGGTAAGCATGAATTAATTTACGATGTAGATATAGAATGGTATCACGCTCATGTGGTCGCACAGACCATACGAAAACCGTTTTCTGATTGACGGTGTACCTGAAAATGATCTCGTTAGGATGCATGTATCCATGCAGAAGCTGGGGCAAGGAGAACACTTTCGCTATTGTGATTTTTCGCCAAAGGAAACCGTGACCAAACTGAGCTCCATAATAAGTGAAAGATTATCATTGATTGACATATACGCCGCCGAGCTGCCTCCAAAAATCGTAGAAAACCCAGAACAAGTAGTTTCTTAAGCCGGTCAAGTCCGACGCGCGTGCGTGTGTGAATGTTTCAAACTGAGCGAGATCACACTGGTGACCACTCCCATCACTGAAATTTCCGATTGGCTTGAAGGTTCCACAGGATGTGGAACTCAGTTCAGTGCAATTAGTACCACCAATAACTAAGCAATATCGTGCGCCGGTTTTGATTGCTGTCGTTTGGCTGCACATTTGGATGAACATGAGGAGAAAGACAAGAAAGGCTGAAGGTAAAGTCGAAGAGAAAATTGAGAACTCCAATAAACTATGACTTTAAAGAAACTGAGAAGATGCACGAACGCTACTATTAAGCACATCCAACCATATCACTCAGTGTCTCTTGCCATCGGTTACGATCATCCCGAGGTCCCCATCCAGGGAGCCTAGCGGGACTTATGTGACCGAGACTCCTAGTTACGGTTTTCATACCCTCGACCATTCTTGGCTTTATTCCATCCACTACCTACCTCGGCGAACATCGCTCGTCGTGGCAATCCATTTGGTGACACACGTAACACATACCCCAACCGACGTAATCTATGGAGGTCGATCACTTGCTCCAGTGGGCGACCGCATTTACCTAAAACTCTGCGGCTAACCTAGCATTGCTCGTCCGGCTGCCCCACCAGATTCGCGCAATGTTGCGTAGACAGTGGTGTTCAAACACCGACAGTCTTTCTTTATTCTGTTTCCTTAATGGCCAAGTTTCTGCTCTGTATGGCAGAACTGGCCGAACTGCCGCAGCAGACACTTGACCCTTAACAGACAGTCGGATGTCGCGACGGAGCCGCAGGTGTCTCAAGTTGGAAAATGCCAACCGAGTCTTCTGTATGCGAGCTGACACTTCATCCATGATGTGTCCACCGAGTGAGATGTAACTGCCCAAATAACAAAACTTATCGACCTGCTCTATTACTTCCCCGGTTAGAGTGAGGCTGGGCGATAGACCAACCCAGTCTTATGGTAACATTTTGCACTTCGAAGGTGCAAAACGCATAAAGAACATGGCTACATTGGCATTCAACTCAATGAACGCATGGTACATAAAGGTACTTGGCCGTGTTAACAGAAAGCAGAAGACCATTGGACGGTTTTAATGCATTTCCTAGGATCGATCAAGTGTCATATTGGCGACCAAAAATCGTTCACTCAGCCAAAGGAGGAACGATGTGACACACTGGTTGTGAATGGTCAATTCTAGTAACAGGGCACAGCATCACATACAACGATTAGTTCTCGCTCGACTTGGGATCGCCTCGGGGAGCCTCCCAACAAAGTGTTGCTCGAAGTGCCACCGGACCCAAAAGAGACCATTGCTGACCAGCTTAGTCATGGCACGTGTGGTACACCTAGCTCTGACAATTTCAACCAGAAATTCTCTTTTCTAGATGAACGATGAGAACAGATAAACGCAGTCGCTATGGGTAGTCCGCAGGGACCGATTCTTGCTGACACATTTTTTGAGGATCAACAGCGGGACAAACTTGAAAGACTGAATCTATAACGCCGGTAAGTTAATGAAATATTTGTTATTTGTGATACAAAAGAAAATGGGGAGAGACTATTCGAACGCTTGAAACGCTAGACTGAAATGCAAGACACTACCACCTTTCTGGACGTGGAAGTCTCGCGTGGAACGGATGGATCAATCAGAAAATTTGTATACCGAAAGGATACCCAGTCTGGACGATAACTTCATTTTACCAGCTTTGCTCCAATAGGATATAAGATTGGTCTAGTCTGAAAGCCTTTCTACAGGGCGCGACAGATTTGCACAGCAGATTTTTTAGATAATGAATGTGACAGGATTAGAAAAGTTTTACAATCTAACGAATATCCAGAAGCGTTTATCTCAAAGCACTCCTAGCTCAATCATGCACGGGAAAAGACACCAGGTGCAGATGAGATGAGAGTGGTCCTTCAAATGTGACGATATCAGCTGGCTGATAACCAAGCGCTTAAAATCGGCCGTTAGGCGCACCTACTATGGAGTTGAATCCACGGTTTTTTTTCACAAACGCCCGGCTGCCACAACCCTTGGTGAAAGAACCGCTATCTCTCCACACCAAATCTAATTGCATCTATCAGTTCAAGTGTGGATGATGCTCGGTCATCTACATCGGCAGAACGGAAAGACAACTGCGATATCGAGTAATTGAGCTCATCCCGGTTCGACTTCAGAAAACAATGAGTGGAAACTTTGGAAGTATGACGTCACCGATGACCTGTAGGAAACTCAGATCATCCATCACACAGTTGACCTGGCCAAAATGAAGAACTGTGTCATGCAACATGACGCATTTCGAATTATTCGCAAACACAAAATTATCATCCCCGACTGTCTTATTACTCTGGTGCTACCTTGATAAAAATTCTGTTTGGTAGGCGATTTTGATTCTGTTATTTTCTGATCATACACATCATGGATCGCATAAACTGTAGTATCAGTGTGCGCGTGTACAGAGATGCAGCGAAATGGAGATCCAGGGGATATATTATGCAAACCTGATTTGAGGCAAATTTCCATCACCTCAGATGTGCCTGGCGGTTCGATTTGGGGTACATCAATGTGGAGAATGTACTCACGAACTCACCGCATGTCAGATACCGACTGGTGTTGCTAACAGGACTGGTACACTATGCAACAAGTAATTGAAAAAAAAAAACTAGCGAAACAAATAGCCTGGGGTTATGCACTGGATCTAAAGACATGCTAGTGTTTTTTTACCAAAGTCTGAATCAGTGTTTCACCACCACCAACAACAACACCAACAACAACAACAACAACAACAACGCTCAGGCCACGTTTTGCAATCGATAAGTGATGAAATCGAAAGATGGCAGAGTGCAGGGGTACTCATACTCATAAGTTTTG